GGCCGTGGGGCCGCTGGCCTGCGAGGTGAGCAACCGCCACGGCACTGCCCGCTGCACCCTCCGCCTCCACCTCGCAGGTAGGTTCCCCCCGTGGCATCGCCCTACGGTGCTCCAAGCCCGTGTGCCATGGGGGGCGCGGGGCACTGCCCTGTCCCATGGCACTGCTCCTCAGCGGTCCATGCTCGTATGCCATGGGCATGATGCTCTGAAGGGTGGCAATGCGCCATGGGGCTGAAAACCCATGAACCACGTGTTGGTGGTGCTGCCCGGTGTCCTGTACCCAGATCTGACTCGGGCAGAAGTGTCCCTTGTGCCCCACGAGCATGTGCATGGGGTGGCACTGCCCTATGGTGTCCCTTAGCTATGTGCCGTGGGTGGCACTGCTGCAGGGTGTCCCATACCTATGTGTTAATGGGGTGACGCTGCCCCACAGTGCTTTGTGGCCAAGAGCCATGGGGGACATCTCCACAATGCCCCACAGAGGGGTCACTGGTGGCACTGCCCTGCAGTAGCCCACATCCATACATAATGGGGAGATGCAACCCCACAGCGCCCTGTGCCCGTGTGCCATGAATGGCACTGCCCCATGGTGCCCCACACCAGTGGGTGGCTGCCCCATGGTGCTGCAGGAACGTGCCTATGGTGGCCTGCCCCGTAGTGTCCCACTCCCATGTACAGTGGGGTGGCACTGCCCCATGGCGCTCCATGCCCCTATGCCATGGGCTGGCACGTCCTTGCGGTGCCCCACAGCCGTACACCAGTGCCAGTGGCACTGCCCCGTGGTGCCCCATGCCCCGTCTCTTGGCAGAGGCACCACGCTTTGAGTCCATCATGGAGGACATCGATGCCCAGGAAGGGGAGACGCCGCGCTTCGCCGTGGTGGTGGAGGGCAAACCGCTGCCGGACATCATGTGGTACAAGGTGGCCGGCCCCCCCGCCACTCCCTTCCTGACCCACAGCCCTCCCAGACCCACACTGCCCACTGCTTCACCTGGGTTGCTGCATGGGGGCTTTGGGCTTGTGTTCACCCGTGGTGATGCAGGACGTGACCCACGCCCCACCCACGGGGAAAGGGCGGTGGGAGCTGGTCGGGGACGGGACGGGACCTCCCTGATGTCCCTGCCACCCCCAGGATGGGCAGCTGCTGGAGGAGAGCAGCCACCTGAGCTTCGTGTATGAGGACAACGAGTGCTCACTGGTGGTGCTGGGCGCCACCAAGCCTGACAGCGGCGTCTACACCTGCACGGCCAAGAACCTGGCCGGGGAGATCTCCTGCAAGGCAGAGCTGGTGGTGCGGGCAGGTACGGCCGGCCAGCCCTGCGGCCCCGAGGAGCAGAGCCTGGGTGCCCAGCTTGCCCTCCACCAGCACCTTTCCTTCCCCCAGCCCAGCCCGCTGCTGATGCCGCCATGGAGGAGGAGGCACTGCACAAGGCACGACGCCTGACCGACTACTACGACGTGCACGAGGAGATCGGGAGGTACCTTGGGTGCACCTTGGGTGCCGCAGGGGCAGGGGTGCTGGAACCAGGCTGCACCCTGGGGCTCTGTCCCCTGGGGCTGAGCTCCATGGCACGCCAGATCCTGATGGGATCTGGGGCTGGGGCTGCTCTCAGCCATGCTTGGACGCCCTGGTGCTGACTCAGGGAGGGGTGTTGGGATGGCTGGAGCAAAGCCGGGTCTGTGGTCTCAGGGAAGGGGAGGTCTCCTGCTCCACCACCTTCTCATCCCTCCCTTGCCCCCATCGCTGCATTGCAGGGGGGCTTTCTCCTACCTGCGGAGGGTGACGGAGAAGAGCACCCGCCTGGACTTTGCAGCCAAGTTCGTCCCTGGGAGGACCAAGGCCAAGCAGTCAGCGCGCCGGGAGCTGCACATCCTCTCGCAGCTGGACCACGAGCGCATTGTCTTCTTCCACGACGCCTTTGAGAAGAAGAACGCCGTCATCATGGTCATGGAGCTGTATCCTTCAGGCACTGCTCCGGGAGCACGTGGCGTGCAGGATGGAGGGAGGCTTCTGGGGGGGGACAGGTGGGCAGAGTGGGTGTGGAGGAGCTGGGCATCAGGAGAGCGCAGGGCATGGTGGGGAATGGAGCTTCTGTGCTCCTTGACTGGGGCCCAGCTGCGCCGAGGAGGAGCTGCTGGACAGGATGGCGAGGAAGCCCTCAGTGTGCGAGTCCGAGGTGGGTGAACCCTGGAGTGTCAAAGGGATGGGGGATGGAGAGAGCCTGGGGACACTGGGGTCTGTCCCAGCCCAGGGACATGTAACACTCGTTGTACCAGGCTACAAAGGGAGCTGCAGCCAGCCCCCTCCTCTACCCCACATATCGGGGCACCCACCTTCCCTCTGCTCTCTCGCAGGTCCGGTCCTACATGCGGCAGGTCCTGGAGGGGATCTGCTACCTGCACCAGCACCACGTCCTGCATCTGGACATCAAAGTGAGTGCGGGAGTCTCCCACTCCCTCCCATTTCTTGTTTCTTTAAAAAAAAATAGTCAGTGAAATCCTTGGCAGCCCGGAGGACAGATTTCATTTGTTAGCTGCAGGAAGATAACGAACGTGGGGGTTTTTTTTCCTCTGTGTGCTACTTGCATGCTCGACTTGTGAAGGAAAGCAATCTGCTGCTCGAGGAGAGGTGCTGCTACACTGACATAGCTCATCCAGCATCCCCTCTGCGTCGACCTGGGCCAGTCGAAACGCTGTGCCCGGAGGGGCTGGGTGCCCCGGGGGGCTCGTGCTGAGCGGTAACCGTGCTTTCCTCTCCGCAGGCCCGTGGGGGTCATCGCCTACCTCTGGTAAGTGCCCCGGTGGGACCCCACGGGAGGGACCCCCTTCCCGCCCCCTTGGCAGTTGCTGTACTGGGGCTGCGGCCATGCATGTCGCTCCTTGCAGACTCAGCCTTCTCCTGCTTTCCTCTCCGCAGGCCCGTGGGGGTCATCGCCTACCTCTGGTAAGTGCCCCGGTGGGACCCCACGGGAGGGACCCCCTTCCCGCCCCCTTGGCAGTTGCTGTACTGGGGCTGCGGCCATGCATGTCGCTCCTTGCAGACTCAGCCTTCTCCCTGGGCTCTGCCCTCCCCGGGGCCCCGGGGCTGGGGTCTGGGGTCCCATCCTCGGTCCCCCCTGCGCTTGCCATGCTGTTCCCCACGTCCCCTCAGCCCGATGACAGTGCCTCCTCCTTGGCAGCCTGACAGGGATCTCCCCCTTCGTGGGGGAGAATGACAAGACCACGCTGATGAACATCCGCAATTACAACGTGGCCTTCGAGGAGAGGATGTTCCAGGGGCTCACCCGGGAAGCCAAGGGCTTCGTCATCAAAGTGCTGGTGAACGACAGGCTGTGAGTGCTGCGGTGTCCCCGGCTCTCCGGCGTGAGCCTGGTGCTCGAGGGAGGGTGCAGACCCATGTGCGTCGGGATGCCCAAGGGCAGCCAGACCCTCTTGCCCTTCCCTGGGCTGGCCAAGCCCCCCAGCCCCCAGTTCTCACCCAGCGGTGTTGGTTCACAGGAGACCCAACGCGGAGCAGACCCTGGAGCATCCCTGGTTCAAGGTGAGCCCGGAGAGGGACGCAGCGCCCGGCGGCAGCGGGGTTCCCCTGAGCCTGCTGCAGGCTCCGTGGGACACTGCTGTCCCCTCGCCCTGCAGACGCTGGCCAAGGGGAAGGTCATCAGCACCGACCACCTAAAGCTCTTCCTCTCCCGTCGGAAATGGCAGGTGAACGCAGGAGCTGGGGCAGGGGGGGAGCAGAGTGGGGTGATGTATGCTGGGCAGGATGGGGTGACATGGCCTGGGCAGCGTGAGGTGACATGCACCAGGTGGGATGATGCCACACCACCCATCTGGGCCTGATCCATCCCTCCCCACTGGCTGCAGCGCTCGCAGATCAGCTACAAGTGCAACATGGTGCTGCGGCCGATCCCGGAGCTGCTGGAGGACACGTCCAACCACCTCTCCATCGCCGTGCCCCGGCACCTCAAGGAGTTGCCGGCGCTGTCGTCCTCCTCGGACTCGGATGACCTGGACGAGCTGCCCTTCATCCCCATGCCTCACCAGGTGGAGTTCTCCGGCTCCCGCATGTCGCTCAACGAGATCCCCACGGATGACGAGGCCATTGGGCCACCCGAGGGGCCACGGCTGGAGGGGGTCACGACGGGGGACGTCTCCGCCATGGAGTGGCAGAGCCAGGGTGCGGGGAAGCCCGGGGTGGCCCCAGGGAAGCGACCGAGGGGTGCCGGCCCGCGGCGGCTGTGTGTGGAGGGGGAGGGCCCCGGCCGCC